ATAACCTGACCCCTTTGAACTATCGCTTCTCTCACAGATCCAGTGATAGCTCTCCTTGCAGGGGTAGTCATACCACAGACTGTTTCTCATCAAGGTACAATTCTCAGCCTTTCCACCATTGGGCTCATTCTGATCTCAATAACTAGAAAAATCAAAGGACAAGACGGCTTAGAATAGAATTTTCACCTAGAAGATGCTGAAAAGTGAAGGGAAAGATATTGTATTGCTCTAAATGTTCACTCCACTCATATAACTAAACTCACTTGAAGATGCCTCTTACCAGGACCTTCCATCTAGCACAGGACTTTCTACTTTGACTTCAGCTAAACATTGCAATGCCTGGTGTGAACAGAAGAGAATGGATCTCTCTAACTGTGACAGGGGCAGAAAAACTTCTGAAGGTCAGCTATTGGGCAGCAGCAGTACCTGAAGGGGACACTGGTAGAGGATTTTTCATAGGCAATGACAGTGACGGTTAGTACTGCATAGAATAAAGCAATGAGAAACCACTTCTGCATCGTCTTGCCTTGAAACTCCTATGATGAAACAATTCAAGATGAAATAGTGCCAGAAAATGAGATACCCAGGTCAGAAGGCACTCAGTGGATTGCTGAGGAACACCAAAGGACAGTACAAAAGTGGCACTGGAGATCAGATTGTATATTGCACATTGGCAACTAGGGTGCACCAAAGAATTTAGAAAGAGATCAGTCTGTGATTTATAGACTATAGGAAAGCCTTTAGCTATGTGAATCACAAGAAGATATGAATGGTCCTGGAAGAAATGTACATGTCTCAGCATTTGATTGTTCTGATTGTACATCAGGCAAGAAACTACTGTTAGAACAGAATGTGGAGAAACAGAATGGCAAAGGCATCAGACAGGGCTTCATTTTTTCTTCCCATCTATTCAATCTCTACTCAGAACATATTTTAAGAAAAGTTGGATTAGGTTCAGAGGAAGGAATGAACATTGGTAGAATCAATAATTTAAGATATGAGATGATACCAGCTGTGACTTGAAATGACTCCTGATGAAAGTGAAAGAAGTGCAAAAGCAGGAATGCAACTGAACATTAAGAAAACAAAAATTGCGACAATTGTGACAAAAATTGTGAAGAATTATGTACATTTCATCCCAACAATGAAGACATAGAAATTGTGAAAAAAATATTTATATAGGTTCAGTCATCAATTCAGAGGGAGATTGCAACCAAGAAATCAGAAGACTGAGACTTGGAAGGGTGATAATGAAGGAACTAGGAAGGATAATCAAATGTAAGAATGTTTCACTAGAGACCAAGGGCAAGATCATCTACACTCTTGTATTCCAGATCGTTATGTCTGAGTATGAAAGCTGGGCAGTGAAGAAAACAGATAGGAAGAAAATTGATGCACTCAAAAAACGGAGACCTTTGCGAATACCCTGGACCAACAGAAAGGCGAACAAGTGGGTCCAAGATCAAATTAAACTAGAGCCTTCCCTGGAAGCAAAAACAACAAAACTGACATTTCAGGCACATCATGAGAAGACAAAACTCCCTGGAGAAGACAATCATGCTAGGGAAAGCTGAAGGCAGAAAAAAGGAAGACCAGGTAAGGGTTAACTTTATAAAGGAAAGCCACAGTCTTGAGTTTAGGACAACTAAGCAGGACTGTCATGCTTTGATTTTGAAGAGCTTTCATTTACAGGGTCACCATGTCAGAGATTACTTGACTGTGCTTGACAACATTATTAAATTTGTTAATTGATTTCACCAGCTTTTAATGTCAAGAGAACCTGTGTGTAACCCCCACCTCCATCCTATCACTTCAGAATGGTTCCAAGAGTGATTGCCCATCCTTAGAATGGCACTGTTCATTTTGTTTGCTGTGAGAAACACCAATAGACATTGGCCACCCCAATGCCTCTTGCCTTATGCGAAAGAGCCAACATTTCTCCCCTTTCTACAGTCTCAGTCAGTATGCCCAGTGGGCAGTGATTATGGAAGTTATAGTCCAAAACATCTGAAGGATGTAAACCTGTCCCTGGTTTACAATGGCTAGTAGATTTCCAGTGTTGCAGACAGAACTCTTTATTAATCCATCTGGAAATGCCAGGGTTCTCCAAGGCCTCCATCCTTCATTCAGCCATAGCAAACATGGGCTATCTGATATAAATTCATCCCCTTTTGTAGTGCACCATGACACATTAACTGGGTCATGGAAGAGTCCTATCGCACAGTAAACTAATCTACATATAGTTCCTGAAATATGCACACTGTCCCATGTGGCAGTTCAAATATACTGCCTGCCAATCTTTTGCCCCCTTAACAGGAACTCAAAAGTTTCTGCACATGAAATTGTTCTTGGGTGTACTTCCTATGCCTAAATGCCACTGGAAATGTGATGAACCATCAGTCTGTTTGGGAACACTAAAGATTTATGGAATATGGCAGAAGTTTCTAAAATTGCATGTGCAAGTGGATGTTGCTTCTTTCCCTCATGATGGGAGCTCTTCCAAGCCTTCTGAGATGTTTTAGAAAGAAGTGGCTAAAAGCTTGCATATTCCAACCCTTGCCCCCATTCACTCCACAAGGTGAACCAGAGGTGGCCTGTCAGTTGACATCTCCCTCAGCACAAAAATGTACTTTGCATTCCAGTTAGCTTTCAGATAACATTTAATGCATCCAATCATTTCTTTTGCAAATTAGTGCAAATAGGTACAAATGGAATGAATAAAGTCAACGAGGAGCCAATAAGAAGCAGAGAACAGAATTTACTGAATACGGTGACTCTGAGAGCTGGGAACATGGGACTTACATCTGGTGGCTTGTGAAAATGTCATTGCCTAACATTTCCAAGGAACAGTTGCATGTTACTTTCCCTCAGAAGCCAAGATGCCTTGAAACTGTGTAAAGAATGCAGATAACGCTACATTTGTGACAAGGTTACATTTGCATCTCAAAAGTGGAGTATGATGGCAGTGGTAAAAAAGGCATACCACCTATATCTTGGATGCAACATCCAAACAAGATGTTGGGACAAGAGTTGGGCCCCTCATTATTGTTGCATTACATGCGCAACTTATCTGCATCATTGGCTAAACAAGAAGAAAAAGTCCATGCCTTTCACAGTCCCAATGGTCTGGAGGGAACCCACCAATCATAGTAGCAACTGGTATTTTTGCATGGTTCCCCCAATTGCAAAATGGATCTCAAGAAAAAAGGAGTGGACCATAGAATATCCAAACATTCCATCCACACTGCGTCCTGTACCCCAGGATGAGGACTTGGCAATTCCAGATCCACCAGAATCCTCCTCTCTAGACTCAGATGATGATAAAGATAATTTTGAATTGTTTTGATGCAATTTTGACCTGAAGTTGTATCTTGGAAACTGGAGCCAATAAATACTCCAGACTTAATTTTCCTTTATTAGTGACCCAATTCTGGTAAAATTTAGCTGCTTTCATTTCTGAGGCTTTCTCCTTGTGGACCAGTGTTATTCCATATCCTGTCCATTATTCCATGTCTGGAACGGATGAGAAGAGGTCTTGTCCTTCTTCTTTGTGACAGCCTTTCCGGTATTTGTAGAGTGCTATCATTGGTGAGGTCTAGGTGTTGGGTATAGAAGAACTAATACTTCACGTTTTGGAAGCTGTCCTTTTTGCAGCTGCATCACATTTTTGGCACATATTTAGCTAAGATCCTTCTTACCATCAGAATCATTGAGCCAAGTGTTCCCAATCTTGTAATGGTGCATTTGGTTTCTTGTTCCTAAGTGAAGGACTTGGCACTTGTCCCTATTGAATTTCATGCTGTTGTTCTCTGCCCAGCAGTCTAACCTATCCAGATCATCCTGTATCTTATTGCTGTCTTCCAGGGTATTTGGTATTCCACCCAGTAATCTGTAAATTTAATTATCTTTCCTTCTCCTTCCTTATCTAAATCATTAACTAAAATGTTAAAGAGTACCTTTCCGAGGACAGAACCGAACCCTGTGGCACCCCACTTGCCACCTCCCCCCATTCTGAGCATGTGCCATTGATGTGCACTCTGAGTCTGATTTTGCAGCCAATGGTGGATCCACTTAATGGATGCACTACCTAGCCCACTCTCTGGATGTGGTGGGGGACTTTGTCTAGATAGATTATGTCACAGCATTTCCACAGTCCATCAGGAAGGTTACCCAGTCAAAGAATGAAATTAGATTAGTTGGGCAGGATTTGTTCTTGAAAAATCCATGTTGGCTTATAGTAATTGCTTCATTGTCCTCAAGGTGTTTGCAGACTATTTGTTTATAATTTGCTCTAGAATTTTTACAGGGACTGATGTCAGAGTGTAGTTCCAAAGTTTGTCTTTTTTTCCCTTCTTGTAGATAGAGACAGCATTAGCCCTTCTCCAGTCATCTGGCACTTCTCCTCTCTTCCATGAATCCTCAAAGATAATAGATAGTGGCTCTGAGAGTTCCTCCACTAGCTCTTTTATGAGTCTGGGATGAAGTTAATCAGGCCCTGGAGATTTGAACTCATTTAGCCCAATTGAAGGGCAGCGGGGCTCAACTCCTTGACCATTTGCCTTTCAATCTTGGGCTGCCCTCCTGCCACTTCAGCTCGTATTGCACCTTCATCAGGAAGGCTGTAGTTCTTCTTTTGGGAAAAGACTGAGGCAAAGTAGGAGTTGAGCCCTTCTGCCTTTTCTTTGTCGTCTGTTATTGTTGCATCTATAGTAAGTAGCTGAACTCCCTTCTCTTTCAGCTGTCTTTTGCTTTGGATGTATTTGACAAATGCTTCAGTGACTCCACCACCAACTGCTTCAGTGACTCCATCTGTACAATTAAGTACCACTAAACTTGACAGGGCTTGCTTCCAAATAAGCATGCATAAGTTCATTTTGTAAGGTCCTCCCCCCCACAACTGCTGGTATGTCTAGGCATGCTGTATGTTACAAACAGATGGGGAAGAGCAGTTATGGAGGCCTAAAGCTGAACTAGTTTAGAACAGACAATACTTCAACAGGTAGCAAGAATCCCATCCTTTTATTGTTTGCACAGCAGAAGGTTACACAGTCATTTCTGAATGGAGAGAGGCAAAGACAGAAGAGCAGTCTGAGAATGACTCCCATGATTTGCCTGCTGCTCCCTTAGGTTTAGTAGACAACCAACAGGAGAGATTGTTTATAGATATAAGACTGTCTGCTATCAGAATAGAAGCAGTTGCTTAGTCAGAAGAGTACTGGTGGCAGTGAAAGGGAGACCAAGATCACACCCAGTCTAACTCACACAGGGTAAGGATGAGGCCCCAAAGGATGTGCTATCAGCTTGTCCTGCACCAAATTTGCACCCAGTGCTGCAACATGACCAGTTACCTACATATGCACATGGGATAGAATGAATATTCCAAGGGCTAAAAGACTCATCTAAATCCCCATGAGGGAAAGCAGAGCACCTAGTTTGAGAAGAGAGTTGGGCTAAGGGAAAGAAAGGACAAAGAATGGCACTTGCCATTCAAACTCAACAATAGATATTTACTTCAGGGGCAGCTTTAAGAGTGACCCATATCTACCTGTGTTGACAAAGGATTCCTTTATATCAGGGGTGTGGACAACTTGTTTTTGCTCACAACGTCCGTTACTTGCAGCCAGCAGAGCCAATAGTGAGGGAATAGTTCGTCAAAAATTTGGAGGACCACAAGTTGCTCTCATTGCACTAAATTACTGGATGTCTTATTTAGGGGAAGGGTGTCTTGTTTAGTCCTAACTGTGGAAAGTTAAGTGTTAGCAGACATAAACAACCAGGAGGAAAGTGCCAATACACAGGAAAAGTGATTCACCAATGTGCACATGTGGGGATGAAGCACAAGCAAGACTTCAGCAAAAATGCTGACTCCAAGAAGTAAGGGGCCCTTGATATTTGCGGAAGGGCCCAAAGAAGGCCTGTGGAGCCAGGACAGGAGCTAGCAATTCAGGCCCCTGGAGCTGCTAACGTAAAGGTAAAGCTTTTGTGCTACTCCATAACCTTGCTTGGGAGGCATTCAGTTGAACCAGGGCCCTCACACAAGGCAGATGCAGATCCCTTTCTAGCTGGACCTCACACACTGCAGGCCCTATACAGAGATGGAGCCTTCACGGAAGTTTGTTTTTCCAATCAGGGCGTTGAGGAGGACAGGCCGTCCACTCCTGCATTCAGACTGTGCAGCTTTGATGATGTCATCCATTTGCTCCTCATTCTGGCGGCTGAGCAAGAAACCTTTTCCTCCTAATCCTTCTGCTACCACATGGTAATCTGTGGGGAAGAGCACCAATCATGAGCAAGTGGGAAAAGCACATTTCAGAAGAGGCAGGGTGCTTCATTTCTGAAAGAGAAGACTCCCTGGCATAACACTACCCCTGAAAGATTATGTATACACAGTGCTGAAGGAAAGGCATGCTTCCACTTCATCAATTCCAGGATATGTATTAAAACATGTTTCCAAGGTTTGGCAACTGCTGACTCCAATCACTAAGCCCAGCAACAGTGGTACCTCAGCTCACAAACCTAATCCATTCCATGACTCTGGTAGCGACCCAAATTGGTCGCGAGTCAAGTCAAATCTCCCCATAAGGTTCAATGTAAATAAAGTGAATACTTTCTGTAAATATTTTTTATCACAAATATCTGAAACAAAATAACAAAGAACAACAAAGTAACAAAGTACAGTACAGTAGAGAACACTAACCTGGGGAGGGAAGTTATTGCTTGGAGGGAGAGTCCAAACCATAAGCATGCGATAGCGATCGTGCTCAGGGTGGGGGGAAGACAGCTGTGATTGCGATCGCACTCATGCAGGGAAGAGGGGCATGATCATGGGCATGCTCATGCAGGCAAAATTGTTCTGAAATTTCTGTTCGTGACCCGATTCGGTCGTGAACTGAGGCATTTGTGAACCAAGTTACCACTGTACTAATCCTGAGCTACCTTGCCAGCTCCTGGACTTGCAGTCCTTAATGCTAGCACAATTTACACCCCTCTTTTTTAATCATTCAATTGGCATATTTTACTTTTATGTTCAACAGGCCTTCATTTCTTCTTGACTCCCTTTTTATTTTAATAAACAGTGTATTTCTACCCATCAGCCACATATTGCATTATAAAATGGTGCACACATGGAAACTTGTAAAATGTGGAACACCCCTTCTTTGCACATAATGCTAACCCATCCATGGTTTAATTCATGGTTCATTGCCCTATCCAGATCACCAGATGATCAGGCAGATGTTCAAGCAAAGCATGGTTTTCTCATTCCTTGGGTTCTTTGCATCCCATATATGTTGCCTGCTTGCTTCCTGTATTCCATGCTTTTGTGGCAGTATGTAGATGGAGGCAGATTTTTTTTTACTGACTCTTGCTTGCCTCCTGTGTAGTCTGGTGAAACAGTTTGGGGTTCACACTTAATGGCTCAGAGTTCACAACTCTACAATAAATTATGTGTTCACTTTCTGGGTTGTTCATGGTTAACAAACATGCTTTGTTAGTGCAGCTGAGTTCTCACAACATGAAAACCCAGAATTCAATAACCCATGAGCTCACACTGTGAGTGATCTCTTCCACACTAAGAAATCGATAGGATTAATTATGACTACATTTGCATAGCTGCATCTTTAAAAGCTAGCATGACTCATGAAAGACTTGGGATGAAAGTAAGAAATTGTCCTTTCAGTTGTATTGTTTATGTGTATGTCTTCAAATCCAGCTCCTGGGAAGAAACAGATGTGAAGTTAAATTGACCTGTGTGTTAATACTCCGTAAAATCAATATATAGATTCGTGCTTTTATGTATGTCTTCTTAAGGAAGAGAAGAGATTATATCTTGATTATCTCTATTGGCCTAGAGATTATGTTGACATTTGATAGGCATATCCACAATGTCATACACAGTGCCTATAAAAACAATGATATTGGTGATGGGATCTGTGTAAGTAATAATGATTTATATGTTTATGATTGCTGAATGGGCTTTTTGATTTTTTTTACACCATACAGATACAGTTACTTAAATCTGTTCACAAGTAGTTTTTTAACTTCACCTGCTCCCACTGAGCTGGCTTGAGAATGCTGTCTGGGTGATTAGCAAATATCCATGAGTTTATACCAGCAAACATCCACAAGCTATTTATATCTGCAACATGCAGCTGGTAGTCAGAAATGCACAATACTGCATCATAGGTAAACTCTGAGAAACTCCACTAAAAAGGCAGGTTATAAAAGCAATGTAATCAACATAATCATCAGTGTTCTGTGCAAAGGAACAGTTTTTGACAGAAGAGTGGAGCTTACTGAACACCAACTCCAAATCTTCAGAAGCCACTAATAAGGGGCTGGCCCCAGTGATATCACAAACCTTGGCCCTCCAACAATCACAGGAGCTCATTAACATAGCACTTTAATAATAAAAAGACTGACAGTACACCTGAAGCACTAGGGGAATGGAGGGGAGAAAGACCAAATAGTGGAGTAGGAAAAAAAAGCATGCTGCCATTCTTGGTTTAATGTCTTATTTTACAGACATGTGAAGCCACTGAAATAGATAATAATGAGCCCAAACACAGACGCCATGCAGCAAGATGGAAAAGGGGAGGTGCTTAGTTTACCATCCTTAGTCTACCACCATTGAAACATGTATGCTTTCTAACTTAGAGAAAAATATATGGTAATGTCACAGGAATCTGGAGATTTAAGACAACAGGGGTTGTAACAGGATTTACAATCATAATACCACACCTCTTTGTACAGACTAGTCTATACATCACATTGCACAGGGGAATTTGCAGTACAGGCAGAATTTACCATGAAGCAAGGTGAGGCATTATCTTGTTGGCCCCACATGAGAGTCAGCCCAGGCTTTTTTGGTTCCAATAGGGCCAGGATTTGTGTGTAGGATGTCCTGCCTCCTGCCATTTACACCATCAACTCACCCAGATACTCCAGGCCACAAGCTACATTGCTGCCCAGCATGGGAACTTGCTCTCGGGAGATCTGGCTCCAGCAGGCATCATTCCCCACTAGGGCGATGACAGGGGTCTGACAGAAAAGACAAAGTGTTGAAGAATCAAACAGAGTTGAGACAGGCTGCCCCACAGTCCTCTCCTGCTAACATTTTTGCTATTTGGGCTGCTCACTTTCATATGTATGAGTACTGGCAAATCGACAGTGCGATTCTGACTGCAAGCTGAACTAAGTCCCCTCTACCTGTTTCATAAGTCCCTGTGAGGAGGGAGAATTACATCTCAGTCACGTGGCTCTTGCACGCAATCCAGTCCTCTAGATTCCTCTCCCTACATGTTGCTGGAAACAAATGGAAGGGTGACAGGCAGAACAAACAGCAGCAGGGGGAGAACGAGGAAACCCTCCTCCTTCGTATCTGTCTTTCTTCTTCTTTCCATGCCTGAGTAGCATGCTTGGGCCATAAGAAAAGGGAGAGAAATGTGCATGCAAAAGAAGAAGGTAGCCATCACTTATCACTTGCACTTATCTTGCTCCAGAGACCTACCAGGCACATTTGGGAAGTGCACTGGCTCAGCTTTATATGACCTGGAATGATGTGGGAGTTGAAAGGGAGAACTACATGAGAAGGAAGGGTGGTTGGCTCAATTTGCAAATAGGCCACTCGGCATGGTGGAATGGAAAAGTTTGCCCTTCCTGCTCTCATGTCACCAAAACCAGCTGCCAACAAAAACCTACAAACAATCAGGAAGTTTTGACTGAATAATGCAATAGCCATCTTAGCAAAACCGCCATAGTTCCATGAACTTGCCAATGCTGCATCTCTCCAGGTGTTTTCTACACCCACACCATGCTGTGCAAACACAGGAACCCAAGAAACTGGGCAGAGTTACACCTACCTTGTGCCGCACGAAGGAGTCAAACTCCATGATGCTGAATCCAAGAGAACCATCTCCATATATAATCCAGACCTAATAATGATATGAACAGAAGGGCAAATGATGCAGTTAAAGACCAGGCAGGAAGATCTTAGTACCCTATTTCCTTTTACATGAATAAGCAACTGTCACCAAAAAGGAGGAATGCTTAATCTGGAGAAGGTTTAGTATAAGCAAACATATCAATTAGGGATTGAGACATTTACCCATTTACCTCTTTTGAGAAGAGGGGACATTCCACCAGAGCTTCCATCCTTACCTTCCCATCACTAAGCACTAACCTCTGAGTCTGGCCTGCAAAGCTTGGCTCCTAAGGCAAAACCTCCACCAACCCCCAAAGTTCCAAAGGCTCCTGCAGTGAGAGAAAAATGGAGAATTAGTAAGTGAAGGGAGTTTGCAGCTGCCTGGCTGTTCTGCAGGCCTTCTTAACTGGTGTTGTTTTATTATGACCGGTTGATGTTAGCTACTTTGGATGTCTCATATACAAGGTGGCATGATGGGATATATTGTAAGTAACAAATAGACCATAGTCCTGTACCAAGGAAAGGCACACACTAAGCAGCCCCAATGAACAGGGCTTACACCAGTTTTTTTAAAGCCACTTAAATAAAAGACAAAGCACAGCATCTGAAAGTATCTTGATCCAAGCAGAAAAACTCTGGATGGAAAGTATTTCTGATTTTTTCCTTAAATTGACCTGTTCATCCTATTCTTCTAATCTGAAATCTTTCCAAAATGATGTTCTTTTGTTTCCCCATTTCAGTCAGCAAGCTCAGTGGCAGTGACAGTGGTCATGGCTGCTCCAACCACCATTTTCTGCTGCCCTGTTCACCTAACAACAGGTGAGTTTCTAGCAGACAGGATACTGATTGGCTGCCCCTGCACTTCCTGCCCTCCCTCTCAGTGCATGCACCCTGAAGCTCAGCTGCCCTGCTGGCACCATGTCAACTGTCCGGCCAATTGCACATCTTGTGCAGTGCTAATTGCTCACCTCACATGCTGCATAGCCAATTGCCAAGGGGTCCAGCTTGCACAATGGTGCTGTATTATCACCTCACAAGCTCTCATACACTATCCCCATGTCCCTGCACTTTGTGTGAAAACTCATGCTGTCCCCATGCATGGGACATGGGGCAGCCCATGAGAACTCCCATGAAGGTCAGGCACTTGAGAGGTGATGGAATGGTCCTGCTGTGCAAGCTGGATAACTCAGCAATAAGTCAGGCAGTGCATGAGGCAGGCGACCCAGCCATGAGGTAGGGGGCGGGTGACTGGCCAGGTGACAGACATGATAGCAGTGAGGTGGCTGGGTATCAGAGGGTGCACACTCAGAGGGACGACGGTGAGCAGTGCCCATGGGGGCAGCTGTGTTAACGCTAATGAATTCACAGGGACTTTGCAGAGCAGGAATGCGAAAAAAGCAGAGGCTGGCTGAGAACATCCTCAGAGGAGCATGTGGGCCAATAGGGCAGAGGTAGGCAACACAGGCAGGAGTGGTGTGCACTGGGACCAGTTCCCAGCCAGGGAGGCTGATAAGGTATGTGCTGCATTTGGAGGGAAGATGAAGGCATGCTGAGACTATTCCTGAGTTGGTGCCTTGCAATTGTGTGTCCATAGAGCACAAGGTAACTACATGGTAACCATATGCATTATGCAGGATGGCAAATATCTTTCCTGGATGGGAAAGATTACACTACCTCATGCTGCAGCAGAGGTCCATGGGCAAGAAATCTCAACAATGAAATGTCCTAAGAATCACCAAGCTACAGCTTGTCGCCTGGATCATAAAGTCCAAGTCTTTTCCCCCCAGGAGACACTCAATTTAAAGCTTCTCCACCAATGCATAACTCTTCCTAATCTCATGTTACCTGGATCTAGCCAGGAGAGCGGCTCCCTGGGCTTCACAATGTAGGCAGCACTTGCCACAAAGTCACCCCCATCTGCAATCAGCAGGCTGTCCTCTGGAAGCAAGCAGTCCACATGGTGCAGCAGTTTCAGAGGGTTCAGGTGTTGTTCTGTTGGCACTTCTGCCTTCTCTCTAGGAGGAAAAAGTGTCATAATTTGAAACACATCTGTGAACAGGCGTATACTTTGCAAATCACAATGTTACTGAAGGGCAGGGCAAAGCAACAGCACCACTGCACATATGCACGCATATGGATAAAGACCATTGGTTAGTCACATTTCTAACCTGTTTTCTTTCTCCTTCATGCAATCAGCCTCCTTTAGACTTGTTTTCCAGTCCTGGGGACACGAATAACCCTTCAACTCTTGGCTCAAGTGCACTAGGAAGGAGCCAGCATCTCCTGTGGAAAAAGGGTTGTACAAGGCCTGAAAAGCTCAAGGTCTAGGAAAGAGGGAGGATGAAGCAAATGTATCCTCAACTTTAGGACACTGGCATGCCTTGAAACATCCTTTTCCTCCAGTAATTCAACCCATGACAAATACCCAGGACCATCTCGTAATCCCTTGGCAGCCCTCTCACCCTTTATGGTTATGTGGGGTGTCCAAAATAAATGTGCATTTTTCAGCAGTTGTTCCCGGTTCCTATTGACAGCAATAATTTTGCTGCGTTTGCTCAAGATACGTCCATATGACAGACGAAAATCACAGACTGTGCCTGGAAAGGAAAACCAGAGTTATGGAAAGACTTAAGAGATTAATCACACATGCACAAAACTCTTGCTCCCCTCCACAGTTCCCAGAACTGTTCCCCTTGGCATGCAGCTTACACAAGCCTTCTGGACCCAGCTACCTGCAAGAATGACCACATCTGCCTCCTTGAGTGCCTCATGGCGCTTCTGACGAATGTGTAATGGACTATTTTTTCCCAGCATGCCACGGGCCATGCCTCCCAGAAAGCAGGGAATCCCCAGTTCATCTAAAGCATCCCTGTAAAAATAGGAAAGGCAAGGAGAATCTTACTGTAGAGATTCCACTAGCATCAACCACCAACAGCCAACAGGAGATAACTTCTATCCCTTTCCCCTTTTCTATCCTTTCTATTCCTTTTCCCCATCCACCTCTTAATCTGAACTCATGTTCCCCTCTGATTTTAGTTCTGCTTTCCTTACTGATTTGGCTTACCAGGATACAGGCTACATTTCCTAATGTTGCTCTGAAAGTTCTGTAGTAACATCTCTAAATCAATTATACTGGACCACAAGCACACTGGAGGCAAGATGCAGAGAGGACTCAAGGAAAGCCCCAAACTGTGGCTGAATGCCTCCAAGAGCTAAGCAAACTCACCTGAGCTTCTTTACTGGTGTTGGAGGCAGGGTCACTTGGCTGCCAAGGAGAATGACTGGTTTCTTGGCTCGGCTGATTAGTTCCACACACTGTTGCACCTGCACAGAGGTATGCCCCAGTGAGGATCAGGCTGAGAACAAAGACCAAAGCTCTGGAGCAGTGTGGACACTCTTGCGGGTGAGGGACACTGTGCTGAAGAACTAGGAGGAAAGACCTACTAGTTCTGGGGGCAATGTATGTAGAAAAGAAGAAATCTCAGGGTTTTGCTGGTAGCAGTGGAGAATATGTCTTCTGGCCTCAGTTTGACCCTTTGCAAAGGTAAAACTGGATTGCCCTCTGTAGAAAATAGGTTGACTGTGTTTGCACCGTACAGCACCCCACCATAAGCAAACAGCCATGGTATGTTCTCATGACATCTAAATCAAGAGTGTTCTCTGTGGGGTGTTTTATTTTTGGGGAAGAAATCAAATAGAGAACTCATGTGTGGGATTGTTCTTGCTCACAAAATGTTGTCCAAGCAGGGAGACCAATTTTATTGTCAAATGAGGTAATCAGCTATGGAGACATTCAGCAAAAGGACCAAAAATGCTGATGCCCCTTGATTTCTTGATCTTACCAATGACTGCCCTTCCACCAATGCCAAAACAGCACTTTGGAAAGACAGTCATTTATTCCCTGTTTTTCATTTTAATTTTCAGCATCTCCAAAATGCATGATTAGGGTTGTTTTTGTTGCTGCTGTTGTATGTTTTTCACAAGTGGGCACTAACACCTGTTCAGTATGAGTGGTCTTTCCCAGTCGATTTTCTTGTATGTTCTAGGTGCCAATCAAAGGGGACAGGTTACAAGGAAATTGACAAGACAAGGCTGCCTCTTGGCTAATTTGCATACAGAGGCACAGGACCAGGAGATAAATAACATTGAGAGAGAGACAGAGGGACTTGGTAGCACAAACCAGAAGCACCAAAAATGGGGGACAAAAGCCAAATAGGAACACCCCAAAGGAGAGCAAATAAAAATCAACTTGGTGATGTGATCCTCCTGGTTTTAAGTGCTGAACTGATACTTCTGAATGACCCCCATCTTTTCAACACTTCCCTGATTCTCCAGCTACTGCAGAAAGAGGAGCTATTAACTCCCCCACTTTTTTGCAGCTTGTTTTTTGAGCAGTTCCTGATGCAGTTACTGCAGATGGAAGCTTAAAAAATCCAGTGGAAATGCATGCACATTTAATGGCTGGGAATAAACTGAGGAGAAATCTACATACCCGTATTAACTGCACCATTAGTGCAAGTGTGCAAATTCTCCCCCCATCTATTTCCTGGGCATTAACTTTGCATCCCTTTCTCTTCCATGTGCTTTCCAGCCCTCACATTGACACACATTTTCCCAATAGCTTAAAAAAAAGAACAAACAGAAACCCTTAGATGATGACAGAATGAGATGGAGTAATGTGGGCACCCATCCCAGCCGTACTTATGCCTGCTCCACTAAATGAGGCTGTATTTCTCCATCACATGCAGCTGTCTGGTCAGGGTATTTTTAAAAAACCATCAGGGAAGTGCTACAGTTTCTGAGGTACCCCCCACACCCAAAAAGGGGAAATGGAAAGGGATAGTGATTGGAGCAGGGAGGGGGCTGGGATGAAGAGACAGGAAGAGTTTCTGCTGCATAGTCTCCTTGTATAAATGCTGGAGCTGGCTAGAGGACTGAGGGGAATAAGAAACCATGACAAACAAGCCTGATCATCTGTCCAGTGTACTGTGGGATGTTCTGTGAATAACAAACCGACTGCATCTTATTTGCAGGATGGTTTAATGTGATGAGTCAACTTACCCATTAAGTGCTAGAGGGAAAAGGAAAGCCAAAGATACAAAGAAACTATGGGTGGGTCCACACATCACACTACCCTGGGAAAAAGCCAAGGTGGGCAGTTGTTCACTGAACAACATGGTACATCCAACAGACAATGGATGGCTTGTTCTCTCACTCCTTCCCATTCAGTCCTTAAGGTAGCTCTGACACACATCCCAAGGAACTTTAGCAAAAAAAAAAAAAAAAAAACCCAAAACATTTGCCTTTCACTTCCTGCTCCAGTCACTACTCCTTGTTCCTGGCCGTTTTTTTTTTTTTTTTTTTTTGGGTGCCTAAGAACTGAGCAATTTGGCTGACTGTTATTCCATTTTGCTTTCCAGCTTTATTGTTGGGGGGGGGTTGTCACAAAATGTGCAACAAGGTAATAATTTTTATTAATTTTTTGCCAGTCTTTCCCAAGTGCACATTTATAGTTGTCTGATACATGTAGTCTTGCCTGGGGAATTTCCTTGGCTGTTTCAGCTGCCAAAGGGAACTATAAAGGGAAGCCGGGAACAAGACAAGGTTACATATAAATTACACACATTAGCCAGGGACGAAGAGAAGCAACAGTTAAGAGAAAGGAGGGACCCAGTAACACAATTCAAAAACACCAAGAATGGGACAGGGGAAACAAATGTCTATGCATACCAAAAAGGATAGAGGACAGTATCTTCCCAGTGGCAAGGTGCTCTCTCAGTTTTCAGTTTAGAACTGAAACTTTTCAACATTCTCCCAGCTGCCAAAATCCCTCCTTTATGGAGTATTTAGGGCATCCTTCCAGAAAGGAACAAATAACCATCCAGTTTTGCCATTGGTGGAAGGGCAGTCCCTGATCAAATCATGAAATGCTTTTTTGCTGCCCTTGCTGAGTGGCTCTGCAGCCAACCAGTCTTTCAGGTTTGTATGACATGACAACCTGTTGTGGGCAAGAACAGCCTCATAACAAGTCAGAAGTTCTTGGCATGGCATGTTCCTGAAAAATAAGCCACCTCATGGAAAACCTCCAGGTTCAGGTGGCGTAACAACCTACTGGTTGCCTATATTGGGTGGTTTCATTGTGTGAACCAGTCAATACTGGCTGCAAATCAAGACAGAAATAATAAATAAGACACACTCAGCTGCTTACTTTTCTAACAGGAGTCGTGACTCCCTTGCTATACTTCTCTAAGAGACTCACCTGTTCCTTTGTGGCCTTTGGAACGCTCACTGGCAAGGGTGAAAAGTTTTGCACCTCCCATGCCCCAGCAAAGAGGTTCATCAAATATCTGCGCAGATACCTAGGTGAGACAAAGCAAATGTGACCACTGAAAGCAAGAGATTGCCAGAGGCATGGCTGCAATGTACAGGACTGTAGCACAGAAAATACAAAAGCTCAAGAACCCTTGCTGTCAGTTTCCTGCCCCAAATATAGGTAGTTACCAACCACCAAAAACCCCCTAAGAACCCTGATGTGGCAAAGTGCAGAATATTGCAAGCCAAGAGGGCAAAAATCTGCACTTCCCTCCTCAGCATTATACACAACATTGAATCAAAGAATTGCTGTACCTTACAGTGAATGTGCACATGACTTAATTAAAAGTTGGAGAGGACTGATTAGAGAAAACTACAAGGCCTCTTTAGGAATTGTAATATAGTATAGGCATCACCTCTTTCTCTTAGTAGTTTACTGTTTAAGCTTTGTTTGCAAAACTATCTTCTTTTCTGCTATAATCTTTTTACACTATCTGATAGATGTTGAACACAACTGTGAGCACAAGGAACTTGAGTAGGAAAGAGCCTACATTGGAGGGGAAAGACGTCTGAAGTGTTTAAAGTGGTAAGACTTTTATTTTATAAATTCTATTTTTATAAATTTCTAAGACAAATGATAGTTAATAATTTTAAAAATCCAAGTGTAGCCTTTCTGGCTGCACCAGACACTGTGTTCACTTGTGGGGAGAGCACCAACAGCCAATTTAATGAGAGAAGGGCAAACTATACCTACAGGTGAGCAGCCTCTAGGAAGTATTGAGACACTGACACAATTTGCACGCCACAAAGCAAATGGGGAGGTATTTAAGCCATGATTGTGGGGACATGCACAGCATGCAAAATGTTCTCACTTACTGTAAACATCCTCAAATTGTCACAATCTGAGGTTGTTGGTGTGATGTGTAAACCAACCACAAACCATGGTTTAGCCCTAAACAACCCAGCTGTCTGGGTTCACATGTCATACTGACAACCTCTGATCACAAGCTGTTTACAATAAGCAGAAGCTGTTTGTGCAGTGCATGTGTTCTGGCAAATCATGGGTTAATTAACCTACTATCTACTGCCATACATGCAAACTGCATCTGTGAAATTATGGGAAGGATCATGGCTCAAGCTCCAATTCTTGAACATGGACTAAAGAAGGGAATCAAAAGTAATCATAAGCTAATATTCCCAACATTTGATAAAAACCTAGCATGAGTATAAAATTTAGGGAGAAATGAAGTATTAATCCAGTTTGTGACAGAAATGAGCTTGTGAAATATTATTAGGCTTAATTACAGTTTTAGAAGACGCATATATGCAAAAAGCCTTTAACCTTTTCAAAGACCATTCACTATGGGTGTTATTTATGGCTATGTGAATATACCCATTTATTTTTATTTGTTGAACCATTCAAATATATTTACACACTGTATTTCAAAGATCATAGAATCATAGAATAGTAGAGTTGGAAGGGGCCATAAATGCCATCAGGTCCAACCCCCTGCTGGTGCAGGACACCAAGTTACACCATCCTACTCTGTTGGCTGCCCAGTTTCTTTTTGAATATCTCTAGTGTGGGAGAGCCCACCACCTCTCTGGGCAGCTGGTTCCACTGTTGTATTGCTCTGACAGTGAGGAAGTTTTTCCTGATGACCAGCCTGAATCTGGGTTGTCACAACTTGGACTGATTATTCCGTGTCCTACACTCTGTCATCAGCAAGAAGAGATCTTGATCTTCCTCTTTGTGACAGCCTCTGAGGTATTTATACAGGGATATCATGTCCCCCCTCAGTCTTCTCATCTCAAGGCTGAACATGCCCAGTTCCCTCAGTCTATCCTCACAGGGCAGTGTTTCCGAACCCTGGATCATTTTTGTCGCCCTCTGCTGGACCTTATCTATTATTTCTGCTTCTTTCTTAAATCTTGGTGCCCAGAACTGGACACAGTATTCCAGATAAGGTCTGACTAGTGTGGAGTACAGAGAAACTACTACTTCTTGTGAACTGGAATACATCTGTTAATGCATCCCAAAATAGCATTTGGCCTTTTGGTGGCTGCATTGCATTGTTGGCTCATATTTATCCTATTGTCCACAATTACTCCAAGATCTTTTTCAGTTCTGTTGAGTCATGCGTTCCCCATCTTGATGCATTTGGCATCTTTTTCCTAGGTGAAAGACTTGGCACTTGTCCTTATTGAATCTCATTCTGTTGCTTTCATGTACAGTCTTAAACCCACTTACAAATAAAGAAATTGGACACAAGCAAATATAAATATAGAAAGATGATTTTTCTCAGAATTAAGGAATTGAAGCCAATTCTGAGGCTATTGAGAATGGAACAAATATGATCTTAAAACTTTCTCAAAGGTCTCATCTGAGAATGTATAAGGTCTAAACCACAGGAGAGAGTTCTGTGATTTAAGGGCTCCAGTCAAGAAAGTCCTGCCTCCTTTATGTGCTAATCTTACTGTTCTAACCAGGAGACATATTCTGATCTAAGTATACTGGCCACCTTAGTATGAGTGAATGCAGTTCTTCAGGTAACCTGGTCCCACATCATTTAAAGCTTTACTGGTCAAATAACCAGCAGCTAGAAATAAATTGCCAACCAATGTAATTGACACAAAAGAGGTGTCACAAAACAGATTTTCTGGCTTTCATCAGCACTTCAGGAAGCCACTTGAAATTTCTGAGCCAGCAACTTACCAAATAAAAGTTCTCCTGATTAGGGGGCAGTGAGATTCAAACTCACTTACCAGTTAACAATCTTTTCTGTCAAACTCTTGGGAGTATCTTTCTTGAACAGCTCTCTTTCCACCAAATGATAGGGATATAGAACATCCAAAGGTAACTCCACAAATACAGGACCTGCAAGACAAGTCAAAAGTTTTATAAAGTCAGGTTGCTTACTTTTAAGTGTTGTTCTTCCAGTGATCACCTGTATAGTCACACATTTCGGCTTTGTACCTGTACAGAGCCTGTTGTCAGGAAGACTTCCAAGTTAGACTCATTCTGGCAGGAACCCTTCCCCTTCTAGGAGAGGTTTCTGCCCTTTCCCCTAGTTCCTTTGAGACCAACATTGTGGCCTTGGAACTGAGGGGAGGCCAATAAACAGCCAACCCATACCCGATAGATACAGGACCATATGAAAGACATGGTACTGAAGCTGGATGGCATCACCAAAGGGTCAGTGGGCGGGTTGTGTGAATGCATAGATGTCCACTCAAAGAATGACAGTTACTGGTAAGCAACTTGACTTTTTTTTCATGATCGCTCTGCATCACACATTTGACTAGCAAACTTACCTTGAGTTGGAGGTAGGCAGGTGCAATCAGTGGAGGAACTTGGTAACAATCTTGTCTACTACAAATATGAAGCTATTAGTGCCAGATGAAGATTGACATTGCTGCTTTGCAGAGGGATGCCCACATGCAGTGTTGTAGAGGTCACCAGGACCCGTGTAGAGTGTGCTCTGGGCCACTCAGGGAGCTGTAGTCTTGCCAGATGATAGGCAAGCACAACGGTCTTGACCACCTGCTGTGTGAGTTGTTGGAAACTAACCAGCTCACCCTTGGACCTTTCATCATAGCATATTGACAATCTCTGGGACCAGTGAAAGGACTTGGTATGGGACTGATAGAATGCCAGCTCCCTGCAAACATGCAGGGTGTGTTGGATGGATTCCATTGGGTTCAGCCATGTTGGGAAGAAGGCCGGCAAAACAATGTCCTGGTTTAGGTGAAATGGTGATGTCACCTTAGGGAGGAAAGAGGGCCCTGGGCACAGTTTTGTAAGTGCCTGTAAAACCACTGACAGGCTCCAGCTGGGAAAGCAGGAGCAGAGTTGTGGGATGAAATTCTGCAGCCCCCCGAGGAACTGCATGACAGTGGATGAGAAAGAACTGAAAGACCATTGATCAGTGGATGGAATGATGAGACCACTGGTGGATGGATGCCTGGTCTCATGGAATCTCATGGAAAGATGGATGAAAAGGTGCTTCTGGACTGACACGTGCCAAGAACAATAAGCATGAATGAACCAGAACTGGAGCAGCCACATCTGTAGCCTGGAAAACAGGATGACTATGACTGTCCCCGCAATAAGCCCGAGGCATTGTACCTGCCACATCAATTTTGAGGACCAATTGACCTGCTGCTCTATCAGCTGGGAGGCAAACCTACACTGTTGATGAGTTGAGTCTTACTTATTTACTTATTTATTTGACTTGTATGTGGCCCCAGTAGTCATAGGCTCTCCTGAGTTTTGCCCCAGTGTAAAGGCTTGACTGGGAAGGAGAAAAGATAGCTATTTCACAGAAGGCAGACACCAAGAAAGCCTAGGAGATCACAGGTATGACACACCAAATCCAAAAGTTTATTTCAGGATAGGGCAACCAGCAGCCACTCATCCAGGTAGGGGAAAACTTGGACCCCTTGCACCCAGGGATGAGCACAAGATAACAGCCATGTGAGAACTTCTGGGGAGATGGCGACTTGCTGACAGCATCTTCTTGGTGCTCTGTACCTTATCTCATTTAGATATTAATAAATCGCCTTTGAGAGTGTTTCTACTTCTCTGAATGACAAGTGGGCTGTATGACTTTCAGCGAGATGGCCAGATAAGGTAAACTGAAATGTGTTATAGAGTGGATACCCCATATTTTTTCCCCAAGCTCTTCTTTTGTTGTAATAGTAGAAGATTCTGTAAGGAAACTGTGAAGAATTTATTTTGTGGAATGAAGACGTTGATGCCTTGGAAGTCAAGGATTGGGCAGAAACTGCCATCCATCTTTAGCATGGTAAAGTATTGTGAGTAAAACCCATAGCAAAGATCAGAATGAGGCATGGATTGGATAACCCCTTTTGACAGCAACATAACTACTTCCTCCACAAGGATGTTGGGATGGCAGTGTCAACCACATAGAACTGAGAGGTACCAAGGTCTTGAATTTAAGACCTTAAATGGCTGCTGGTGGATGGATCAGGAGTACTAACCCCTAGGTTGGTAAGAGGAGGGAGCCTCAAGTCCACTTATTCAATCCACTTCATGCGTCACTTGATGAAGAGGCACGAAGCCCATCTTCTTGGCTGTTGTCCTAGCCTTGTGGACTGCATCCATCTGTGCGGGTGTTAAAGAGCCTCTCTCCATCAAAGGGCAAATCCCCAATTCTGAAGTGAGTCTTCTGGGAAAGACTTGCAGCCCGAAGCCAGGCATGGCTCTGGATCACTATCATGTTAACCAGAGCCTTTGAGTCACAGTCAATGTGCTGGAAAAATGGAGGGCCTCCAATTGAAACACCCAAGCCAAGTCTCAGTATTCCTCTGAGAGGTGCCATGCTAGGAAACCCATCTTCTCCCAGAGGAACATTTGGAAGTGGCCCATGATAGCTTTGTAGTTTGAAACATGGGAGATCTACATGGGGGAACGAATGAGGCCAGGGACTTAGAGGCACAGATCAGTGTCAACCCCCGAGAAGTTGAGGAGCTCCTCAGGACACGGGACATCACAAAACCCTGATGGGTTACACCCAAGGGTACTTCAGGAGTTGGCAGGGGTCTCATGTGCCTTATGGCCTCCATTTTTGAGAACTTGTGGAGAATGGGTGAGGTTCCAGAGGACTGGAGGGCGGCATCAGTGGTCCCAATTTTCAAAAAGGGTAGGAGAGGGGACATGGGAAATTACAGATCGGTGAGCCTTGCGTACATTCTAGAAAAGACAATGGAAAGGCTCATAAGACGAGAGATCTAGTAACTGTAGATAGGGAAGAGAGGTTGGCAACCATGCAACATGGCTTCTGCAAAAATAGGTTCTGCCAGATGAACTTTGTGGAATTCTATGACAAGGTTTTAAGGTGACTAGATGGAGGGGATGCAGTGGATGTTGTTCATCTGGATTTCAGCAAGGCCTTTGACAAAGTGCCGCATGATATCCTGGTTGAGAAATTCAGGAGTTTTGGGATAGACCGATGCACTGTCCGATGGATTAGGGCATGGTTGATGGACCAGAAGCAGAGGGTAACTATTAGTGGGGAATCATCCGGATGGCGGCCAGTGATGAGAGGGGTCCCCCAGGGTTCTGTCCTGGGACCAATTCTGTTCAATCTTTTCATCAGTGACCTGGAATAGGGGGTAACCAGTTTGCTGATGAAATTCACAGACAATACTAAAATGGGTGCAGTGGCCACAACTGAGGTGCAGGTAATCCGGATCCAGAAGGATCTGGACAGACTAGGGAAGTGGGCAGGGAACAACAGGATGGCGTTCAGTGTGGGTAAGTGCAAGGTCTTGCACTTGGACATAGGAATGGGTGTCATAAATACAGGTTAGGGGGGCAAGTGGCTGAGGAGCAGCACTTGTGAAAGGGGACTCAGGGTACTGGTTGACTGCAGGTGAAACATGAGTCAGCAGTGTGATGTGGTGGTCAAGAAGGTGAATGCTATCCTTGGTTGCATAGCCAGAAGCGTGGCTTCTAGATCAAGAGAGTTACTACTGCCACTCTACATGTCTCTGGTGCACCTGTAACTGGAGTTTGTGTTCAGTTCTGGGCTGCACATTACAGGAAGGATATAGCCAGGTTAGAATCAGTGCAGTGTAGGGCCACAAGGATGGTGGCCAGAATGCAGGGAAAGCTGTAAGAGGAGAGACTGAGGAAACTGGGTCGTTTCAGCCTGGAGAAGAGGAGGCTCAGAGGGGATCTGTTGACGACATACAGGTATGTGAGGGGGTGTCACACAAAGGTGGGTAGAGACCTGTTATCTCCTACAGAGGAGGGCAGGATGCGCTCCAATGGAGTGAAGCTCAGGGAACAAAGGTTCAACTTGAATGCCAGGAAGTACTTCCTGACATTTAGGACCCCTAGAATATGAAATGAGTTTCCACGGGAGGTGGTTGAGGCCCCATTGGTGAGGGTGTTCAAGGACAGGCTGGACATGCACATGGTAGGCATGTAATGAGTGGAACCGGCTGTAGCCTTGGATCAGACTAAATGGCCTGGGAGACCCCTTCTGGCTTGCTCTGTTGTTGTTCTTTTTAATTTTTTCTAGATACAGAGCTAGATCTATGCTACTGATGCGTAAATCCACTTTATTTATTATTTATTTATTCAATGTATATTCCACAATTCTGCTTTGCCAATGACTCCAGCCAATGTCCCTCTCGGTCAGCCTGTGTTGAATGCTCCCACTTCTAACAACCCTGTGCTGACTCCAACATGACCAAATCCAGCACAGGACTGGGATCTTACATGCCATGACCTGATACATGCCCTCCAGATGCTTGGATGTTGGCTGCAGTGGCTGCAGCTGAGAAGAGTGGGCAGGAATGTATCAACAAGGGCACTACTTCCTCTGTTTGGACAGTGTCAAACTGGATCTGTCCTTCTCTGAATGCTGCTGTATCTCCTGTCCAAGAGACACATCATCTGAAGGATCTCCTAAAGGAAGCAATGAGGATGGAGTATCATACTGCAGGGATCAGGAGGCTGGCAGGCAAGGTGGTGGAGGACAAGACACCAACACTGATGCTGCATTGCAACCTTCTGGTCTAGAGCCTGGGAAGGCAAGGTGGCGATTTGGAGTGGGTGGTTGATGCCATGGGTCTGAGCACCTGTTCTCCTCCTGGTACTTTAGGCATTTGTCATGAGTCAAGGTTCCTCCTTTGAATAAGCACCAGCCAGAAACTATTTTCCTTGCAAAATGTCCTTTATTGCTTCCCAGTACTAATCACCCAGAACAGAACTCTGAGCATGCACAGAGCAGTTTGTTGAACCCAATCTAGAGTTTACCTCCAAGAATTCTCCTTATGGACATGACAGAACTCCATCCTCTCAGCAGGGGGAAGGGGCTTTCTTTAAATTAGTACACCTCATTCAGTTGGGCCTCCCACCTCTGCTGCCACATCCCCATGGGGTTGAGCACAATGGGCATCTTCTGCATCTGAAAATTCCTCATACTCAGAGGCCCAACAGCTGTACATCTTGGCCATTCCTAGGAACTGCCTGGCTCAGCAAAGTCGCTGGCCTTGAGATTATTACATCCTCCTCTCTCATCTCAGAATCTCGACCTAGACCATCCTCTGCAGTCCCACTGTAATCTCCTTCAGTTGCTGATTCTGAAAAATCTGAGAGGCAGTCAGCAGTCCATGAAAGTGATTGCCCAAGGTTGGTACCCTTACTCCCAACAGGTTGGCAGTGGAGGCATCCAGATGGCCTCTTGGTCCCAAGCAGCAAGAGGAGATCTGCAGCATGGGCAGTGATCAGAGGCACAGGACAACACTGGAGAATAGTCGCTGGTACTACATTGAGAGATGGTAGCAGCCAGTGGGCAAAGTAATGGCAGTGGAGGTAGTGGCCCTCAGCATGGAGACTGTTGGCTCTGGTTCCAGTACAGATGCACTCAATGCTGGTGGGGAATAGTGCACCCTGGGCTGCATCTTGTGTTTGTCCTTCCCCGAATCTGCCATTATTTTGGCCTTCTTTATTTATTTATTTTATTTATTAAAACATTTTTATGCCGCCCCATTCGCCGAAGCCTCGGGGCGGCTTACAACATAGATAAATGTTGTCAGCTTTCAAGCCCATTCAAGCCCAAATGTTCATCTGAACATTTGGAAACAGCCATGGATGGCATGCATGGTGTAAGCATAGCCTGGGAGGTAGATGGGCAGTCTGTTGGCACCAATAAGGCCAAATCAGCAGCCTGACGAGTACAGCTCCAGACTTCAGACCTGAGTCACCAAGCACAGTTTTTCTGAGCCTGTTTGGTGAAGACCTGGCAATGTTGACAAAGGTGCCCCTCTCCAAGGTAGAAGGGGCACAAAGAATGCCCATCAATAGGAGGGAGATGTCTTCTATAGCTAATATACTTCCAAAAAAGGACACCTTGAGTGCAATAGTGGAAGAAAGGAGAAAAGAAATAGAGGAACAAAATGTTGAGGCATGGGAGAGATGGATGATATTAGGTTTTTTTGCAGTGGGTGTTGGGGAAGGGTTAGGATAGGGCAAAAGTAGAAATGCTAAGCAGAAAGGTTAGAAACATGAGAGAGAAATGGGTTGAAAAGGCAAATACTGAGAAAGGAAAGTCCCAAGACATCCACAATGGTGGTCAGAAGAGAACTGGGAAAAAGGGCAGGGACCCTAGATATACCAGCGGAGGTGGGAGAGGAGGAGTTCCTGTCAGAGCGAGTCTAGCTTGGAAATCTTTCTGACAACAAGCCACACGCAGGCAGTGTCCATATGTGTGATGCACAGAGACCACAAAGAAGCACCATAGCCAAGTGAGTAAAGTAAGAGCTAGAGAGACATTGGAAAGGTAGGTTGTTATCCACACATCGCTAGCCATCAGTGTTTTCATAAGAGCATCAGGGTTCAGATGTTAGGCAACCCCCTCCCCCACTGGGGGGCAGGAAGAAGGGAGCTGCTTCCTTGATACAATATTGCAATACCAGGGCAAAAGCATCTCTTTTCAAAGTACATCCAAAGCACATGTTTTATAGACATTAAGTTCCAAAGGGTAATTTGTCTCCAATTTCATGGCTGAAATAAATGGAGAACCAAACCTGGAAATTCTCAAATTCTTAAACCTAATGGAACAATAAAATAAATGCATGCTATCATCTGCTCTGGCCTTTGTTATTTTATTTATGCCTTAGTCTAAGCACAAAAGTGACAGCAGCATTATTCTAAGTGAAGGAGCTATTGACCATCAAGGCCCATGCCCACAAATAGCTTCCACTTAGGTAAAACCCCACTACTCAACAGCTGAAATCTGGACTAGAAGAGCCTCTTTGTAAGCCAGTGGCAGAGTGCCATACCTGGAGTGTCACACTGGGCAAAGGCAATCGCTTTTCGCAGCACAGGGGCAATATCTCGGACAGTCTTCACTGAAGCACAGAATTTGCAGAGTGGTTTGAAGAGGGACAACTGATCAATGTCCTGGAGAGCTCCTCGGCCCTGAGTTGGAGGTGGAAAGAAAAAGGTGAGTGATCACTCTTGCACTTAGTCCTACGCAGATACAGCTGCTTGCAGATATGACATCTATTAGGCACACAAGCAAATAGAACAGAGATGCCACTGGGCAGAGGTGGTGGTTTAATGAAGAACAGTGGTGGTTTAATGAAGAAACGCCAAAGCATAATTAGAACAGTCAGGCACCATGTCAAGATCCTTCCTTCTTCTACAACTCCAGTAGCTGGGGCACCCTACCTTCTGCAGTGTGGATGCTGCCCCTCCAATCAACAACACAGGAGACTCTGCCATCTGGGCATTTTTCATAGCTGTCACAGTGTTTGTCACTCCAGGTCCTGCTGTCACTACAGCAACTCCCACTGTCCCTGCAGCAGAAAAATGCAAGGAAAGTTGTCATTCTGCATCTCTCCCTATTTGGCAAAGAAAGAAACAGGAACATACAAGGTACCTGAGAGCCTGGCCACTGCATCTGCTGCAAACACAGCAGTTGCCTCATGCCTTGTGTCTATAATACGAATGCCCATCTTTTCACTGGCCACCAGAATAGGTGAAATGTGTCCACCAACCAATGTGAACAGGTAGTGCACACCATGAGCTTTCAGCACTTCTGCCACAATCTCTCCACCATGCCGAGTGCTCTTAGGGTTTACCTGAAAGAGACAGGGAGACACAAAGTGAATACTCCAAAAATCAGCAATGATGTGTTTTACAAAACCCACTCGGGAAACATTTTCAATAATGTGCATGGGGTTCTGAGAAGCACCTTTAGCAGCAAAATTGTTGGGGTTGCAGCGGGGCTCATATTGTCCCTGGATGCCCTCACTTTCCACATGTGGATAGTCTATGGGCACAAGCCCATCCACCCAAAAACAAAAAATCAAGCCAATAAGGGTGTTTTGGGGGACAACCTCTTAATTCCTCTTTTCCAGGAGGATCCTCAAGGGTTTTTTCTTGCTGGTGATCAGAACTTTGCCACTGACCCTTAGTTGCTAGCATCTGAGGAAGTGGTAAAGGTTGTGGGGAGGAGGGATGTCCAGTTTGTGGGGTGCATTCACATGTGCCAAACATTGTCAATGGGAATCCCTCCCAGTTTTGCAGGTTTTCCCCAGGCTAAAAGTAGGGGGATACCTGCAAAATGGTGGCAGCTAGGTACACCTGTTCTCCCCATAAGAACCAGGAAATCACAATATAAAAATAGGTGGAAAGGCCCCTTTCCACAAAATGCTATCTTGCTGCCTAGGCAAACAGTTGCCTAGTCCTGACCTGTCAAATCTGACAGCTCCTTGTTAAGGGGAGAGTAAGGGTGAAAATAATGACCTGCAGCCTGCAGTAGCACTGTATGGGGGAGGGCCAATATTTATCCCAGGGTACCTTTTGCTCTATTTGCACAAATAAAAACATAGAAACAGAGCAAGACAGAAGGGGTCTCCCGGGCCATCCAGTCTGACCCCTGGCTCCAGCTGGTTCTGCTCAAGACATGCCCACCATGTGCATGTCTAGCCTATCTTTGAACCCCTCACCAATGGGGCCTCAACCACCTCCTGTGGAAGCCCATTCCATACCCTTGGGCTCCTAACTGTCAGGAAGTACTTCCTGGCATCTAAATGGAACCTTGGTTCCCTGAGCTTCGCTCCGTTGGAGTGCATCCTGCCCTCCTCTGCAGGTGAGAACAGGTCTCTACCCACCTCCGTGTGATACCCCCTCACATACCTGTATGTTGCCAACAGATCCCCTCTGAGCCTCCTCTTCTCCAGGCTGAAGAGACCCAGTTCCTTCAGTCTTGCCTCATACAGCATCCCCTGCAAACCATCCACCATCCTTGTGGCCCTACACTGCACTGACTCTAACCTGGCTATATCCTTCCTGTAATGAGGGGTCCAAAACTGCACACAATACTCCAGTTGCGGGTGCACCAGAGTCGTATAGAGTGGTAGTAATACCTCTCTTGATCTAGAAGCCACGATTCTGGCTATGCAACAAAGGGTGGCATTCACCCTCTTGACCACCGCATCAAACTGCTGATTCATGTTTAGCCTGCAGTCGATCAGCACCCCGAGATCCCTTTCAGAAGTGCTGCTCTTCAGCCACTTGTCCCCTAACCTGTACTTATGACACCCATTTCTATGCCCCAAGTGCAAGACCTGCCCACTTCCATAGTCTGTCCAGATAATTTTAGATATGGAGTACCTGCTCCTCAGTTGTGGCCACTGCCCTGGTTTTAGTATCATCTGCGAATTTGATCAGCAGACTGTTCTTCCAAGTCATTGATGAAAAGATTAAACAGGATCGGTCCCAGGACAGAGCTGGGGGGACCCCGCTTGTTACTGGCCACCATCCTGATGATTCCCCACTAATGGTTACACTCTGCTTTCGGTCAGTCAACCATGCCCTAATCCAGTGATGGCAAACCTCTTAGAGACTGAGTGCCCAAAGTGCAACTCAGAACCCAGTTATTTATTGCAAAGTGCCAACACTGCAATAAAACCTGAATTTGCTGACCACCAGTACAAGGTGGCAACATTCCACTGGCCACCAGGTTTTGGCCGGCCCTGAAAAAGGCATCTGAGTGTATTTTCTACCTTTCCTACCTTCTGCTAAAATCACAGTCAAAGGAAATCCCTGGCAGCTCACTGACTGGCCGTGCGAAAGCTCAGCGAGTTGCAGCTAATGAGTCGTGGCTAATTGCCTGGCATCCTTAATCTTTCCAAACATGTGCATGGCTGTTGGGGCAATCGCATGCTGACAGAGAGGGCTCTGCATGCCCCTTCGGGCACGCATGCCATAGGTTTGCCAACACTGCCCTAATCCATCGGACAGTGCATTGATCTATCCCAAAACTCCTCAGTTTCTCAACCAGGATATCATGGGGCACTTCGTCAAAGGCCTTGCTGAAATCCAGGTAAACCACACCCACTGCATCCCCTCCATCTAGCCACCTCGAAACCTTGTCACAGAATTCCACAAGGATTGTCTGGCAGGACCTGTTATTGCAGAAGCTGTGTTGTGTGGCTGCCAGCCTCCCTTCCCTATCTAGCATCACTAGGTCTCTTGCTATTATGAGCCTTTCCATTGTTTTTCCTACAATGAACGTAAGGCTAACTGGTCTGTAATTCCCCATTTCCCTTCTAGTACCTTTTTTGAAAATTGGGACCACTGACGCCTCCCTCCAGTCCTCTGGAACTTCACTCATTCTCAACAAGGCCTCAAAAATGGAGGTCAGCGGGTATGAGAGAACCCCTGCCAACTCTTGAAGTACTCTTGGGTGTAACCCATCAGGGTCTGGTGCCTTTGTAACTCCCAATGCCCTGAGGAGCCCCTTGAATTCCAGGGGGGTGACTCTAATCTGTGCCCCTAAATTCCTGGCCTCATCTAATCTCCCATGCAGATCTCCCCCTTTCTGCTTTGGGGAGAACACAGAGGAAAAATAGTCATTTAGCATCTGTGCCTGTTCCCTCGTATCAGTCACTGGATCCCCTTCCTCCTTATTGAGCGGTCCCACTACTTGTCTCCCCTTCCTGGATGGAACAGTTTGGATTATAAAAACCATGAATGCAGTTATTTGTACACATAATTGGTCTAAATATTTTTTAAGGGAGGACCATGGACAGCCCTTCCAAGGTACCGGTAGGGGTCCTTGGAGGGGTGTTTTGTGGATGCACCTATTAGAAAAGTAAAAGAGGGCTTGACAGCCTGCTATCATGATCTGAGATAATATTTTAAAAGAAGGAACAATCCAGTTGTGGTGAGCATGAAATCACACGTGGGAGATGCAGAGGGTGCCAAGCACTTGGGCACTTTGGGGTGGCCAGCAATGGTAGCCTCTTGCTAGCTGCTTGGGAAGGGATGCAAGGTTGTTGTTTTTTTTTTTTTTTTTTTGCCACTTTCGCTTAGTGACACTGTAATGTTTTGGATTGCCTCCTGGTGGGTCATGTCATCTGGGTTTGCAAAACACAGCAAGCCACCATGGGGAAAAGAAACCCTAGAAGCAGCCCTGGCATGTTAGGGTAGCTTATAAGCCACACTTAGGCCACCCTGTGTTTGGACAATATTTTAAGCCTTCATGGCTTTAAAGCCATGGGGGCTTAATGTGTCATGCAAACCAAGTCAATGTAACTGAGTCTCAGGGAACACACATCCACCAAGAGCAAGAGAAGCAGACATGAGTCTAGTTTTGATTAAGTCATTTAAACTCTGCCCAGTGTGTTTTGCTTCCCTATCAATTGTGTATTGCAAGTTACAAGTAGGCAGCAACTAGTTTCTCCTTTACCTGGTGCCAGAGCTGATAGATCAGCCCCAGTTTGTGTGCAGCCCCAAGAAGAATCACTGCGAGGATTCCAAAAAATGGCAACAGCCATGCTGAGGCACCTTCCAGGACTGAGGTGGCAGCAATCATATCAGGGTTCATTCAGGGTCTGCTAAATATGCTGTCCTGTCCCAAAAGGAAGACATGACACATGTGTCATTGTGTAACCTGCATGCCTCATACATATCAGACTTGCTTTAGAATTCTATTCCATATAAATACTCTCCTTCTCAAGTTTTATTTCAAGGTCACTAAACATGCTGGAAAATGCAAAAATAATGTAGCATAAACTCTGTCAAACACAATTCAGGTACCAATTCATCAAATAAATATTGCCATGTACTAAGAGATGTGGGTGGTTCTGGGAGTGACTGATCAGCTACTTTAATTCCCAAGAACAGAAAGTGAGCTGAAGCAACATGGGCCTAGAAAAGTGGGCAGCAAAAACTGACACATGGCCATAAATGAAGCGAAACCAGTGCTAGGTACCAAAAGAATGCAGGGCTCAAGCTGAGAAGATAGTGGGGGGGGGGGGCTGGTTTTGTATCTTTATTTCTTTTTTTTAGCACAGGTTTGTCTATGCTAATTTATGAATGCTCTAAAGTCTATGTGTGCCTGCAAAGGTCTCCTAAGGATATCCCTATTGTATGAACAGGGAAGAGAAAATATTTGATTTCAGGATAACTAAGACAGAAAGATTCAAGAAAGGGGGCAGTAGGAGGTAAAACACATGTAGGAAAAAATCCAACCAATCCAGGGTGCTCAGACACACAGAGATCATCATATAGCAGGGCAGCTGGCCTCTCAGAGATCTGTTGCTCTAAATGAAAGATTTGAGGCTCCAGTCCTAGTAGGCTGCCCCCTAACACTGATTCTGATGGGAACACCATTTGATTAAGAATCTGGATAGCTTCTGCCTGTTAGAATAGACAACACTGGCCTGGAAGGACAACAAATGGAACCTGGCACAGGGCAGGTTTCAATGTTCCTAAGCAGGAGGTAAAAGCATTAGTTGCATTTACCTTCCAATGCTACTCTTCTATGATTCTCTCAATTGGCTGATTTAATTAGGTCCTTATCAAAAAGACACTGCAACATCCAGTATACATGAAATACCTTTTTCCCCTGAATTAAACATACTCTTAAGTCCATTACTTCTTCTGAAATAGATAACAATGAAGCAATTAGGCAAATTGGGGCGCTTCAATTCCTTATTCTAGTCTTGGTTAGACCATATAATATTTATTCACCAATAATATTTATACACGTAGAATGCATGCTGATGTAGCTCTTCAACCTCAATCAATACTTCCAGTAACACAGGCAGCTCTGAAGCTGCAAAAGCAGTAGGGCCAAACCTAGATTCTAATACCTGTTTCACCTGCACATCTTTGCCATACAGCCATGGTTGGTATTTTAAAGATTGCCACAAAGTCGAAAATGGCAAAAAGTTATTGTCAGGACCAACAAGCTAATCCAAGGTAAAAATCAGCCTGACTATCCAAATCTGCCAAACCAACATTTTCTTCCTTATCCAAATTAATCCATGAAATTTGTTTTGCTTGTGAAAATAAGTAAACTGCAACTCATATAAAAATATACTCCACACCTCTCTAACTGCCATAATTGTAGGGGGCACGTTATTTGTTCTGGTATAACAAGAACCCAGTGCAATACATCTGAGAAGAGGATTCAAACATAAAGACTTCAGAAATGATCAAGGAGAAGAGTATAGTCTAAGTGGAAAAGACCAAAATCTAGTACAAGTGAACATATAAGCCTGATGATATAAGGAAAGATCAGGGAAACCAAATCCACCTTCTTTACGCAAAAGCTGCATTCTTTTCAAAGATATTTGTGGCAGAGTGGAACCCCATAAAAATTTACAAAACTAGGCTTCTGAAAATATTTGCCAGGTATAAATAAAGGAATACCACACAAAACATAAACAATTTGGGGTATTCAATCAATCAATCAGTCAATCAATCAATCAATCAATTCATTCTTTATTTGGTCATTGAGCAGCAAATAAAACACAAAATTACAGTTAGTTAAGAAAAATACAGTTGTTCTAAAATAACAGTTAAAGATAAGGGAAAATGCAGTTATCTTACAACGGTTAGAGTTAATTCTACAGTGGACTGTACAAACTATTGAGCAGTACATGGTTGTGGTCAAAGAAATAAAATCAGATTGATCCAATAAAAGCATCTTATGATAAAATAAATCAGAATGGCCAGGATATTTCGAAAAGAGCAGGAATAACAATTTCTGGTGAACATCTGCATAGGGAAAACGATATAGAATAACATGCTTCAACAATTCAATTATTCTCCCTCACATATTCTCTGTTCTAAGTGGATTTTTTTGGTATCTCCCTTCAGTTACAGCTGATGAGAGGGCATTGAATCTAACTAAGGAAAAAGTCCTTCTAAATTTTGGGACCTTTATTCATTTAATAATTCATTTAAAACTTGTCTATACCATCCCCTCACAGATGTCTCGGGATGTTTTTCAACAAATTAATACAATAAAATAAAAATAGAAATAGAAATAACAGTTGCACGGCATCTGATATTAAAATAAAACAGGTTAACAATTAAAATACTTGAATCAGACACACTGATTATAGCTAGACCTCTCTTTACCATTCTTATACTGCTGTTTGGAATTGGTTGACTTTTGTGGAGGTTTACACTTAACATGGTGAACATCAGCAGATCGTTGTTTCATGTCAGTATAATTTGTTGGAGGAATGGGTTCTGCCCCAGGCAGTGATGTTGCTGCTGCCTTGGAGACAATCTTTATCCTGATTCCATGTGGTTCCTGGGGTAAAGATTTGCCTAAAAGGCTGGAATGTGCTTCAGTTATTGGGTATATTAAGCAACACTTGTTCATGCCATGTTTCTGGTGTGACCCATCACCTTATTCATGTTGAGGTTCCCAGGGTTTGGGGCAGTCGAAACCTTCCTCTCAGCAACATTTGGATTGCATTCTTTAAAGTTTCTGGAAGTTGTACTATTTCAGGAAGGAACTGGGTAGAGGAATTTGGATCTGCTCCAGGGAACCTGTGTTGCTGGTCTGCATTTCTAGATTCCATAGGTCCAAGGAGGGGGTTGTGATACCAACAGATCTTTTCTGAGTAATGGCAACTATCTTGGATAGTTGAGAGAACCAGATGAGTTCTATCAGCTACTGATCAGTCTGACTACTTTATGTGTGGTCACTAAGGCTTCTCTCATAAAATCATAGAATAGTAAAGTTGGAAGGGGCCATGAAGGCCGTTGGGTCCAACTCCCTGCTGTTGCGGGACACCAATTTACACCATCCCACTCAGATGGCTGGCCAGTTTTGCCTTGAATATTTCTAGTGTGGGACAGCCCATGACCTCTCTAGGCAGATGGTTCCACTGTCATATGGCTCTAACAGTGAGAAAGCTTTTCCTGATATCAAGCCTGAACCTGGTTGTTGCAGTTTGACTTGATTATTCTGTGTCCCACACTCTGGTATGAATGGGAAGAGATCCTGACCTTCCTCTTTGTGACAGCCTTTGAGATGCATATAGAGGGAGATCAGGTCCCCCCTCAGTCTAAGATGTGATAAAGGACATCACTGATGTGTTTCTTCCCTTCTCTATTTGAAAGCTGTCAGTTAATACACCATTAATTAGAATCTTTGCATGTTGTCTGGTATAAATTGCCTGCATTCAAGTCAAAATGTTTGAGCCACAATCTAAATGTTGGAGGGTTTTCAGAAGAAAAGACCAAGCCACATTATCAAAAGCTTTCTCTGCATCTAAAATAATGAATGCCGCTTTTTTCCTTTTTAACCCATTCAATAGCATCAGCCACAAAATGTATATTATCTTTCATGTTTCTTTTAGGGACAAATCCAGCTTGCTCTGTATGGATCTGCTTTTCTATACATTTCCTTAATCTTTCTGCCATTATTAAAGTAAAAAGTTTATAATCAACATTTAATAATGAAATGTATCAATGATACATGAGCTTCTTGCCAAGTTGGTGGCAGTAATCCTTCTTCTTTGATTTAATTCATTACTTCTTGTAGTGGGAGAACTAGGTTTTCTTCTAAAAATTGGTAATGCATGGCAGTAAACCCATCAGGACCAGATGCTTTATCTTTTTTCAATTTGCTAATAGCTTGTGATAGCTCTTGAATAGTAATAGTATGATTTAATATTCTGCTCCAGAGTGAATTTCTCAAGCCCTGTTTCTTCAATATGTTTCTCCAGCCCATCTTCTGGGGCTGATGGTATATAAAAAGCTATATAAAAATAGCTTTGAGACAAAGTTAATAAATTGCTCATGAATTTCCTTTTCCACATATGTTATGTCATTATCCTTCTTCACAGCTGTTATAGATCTTCTTTCTACTTCCTCCTTGAGACAATACGCTGGACAATCTTCCAGATTTATTTGCATGTTCAAAGTGTCTCTGTTTTTAAAAACTCAGCTTCTTTTGTATCTCTTCTGTCTCTAACATATCTAGTTGATTTCTTAACTGTCTGAGTTCAGTTAAAATTGGTTTATCTTGGGGTTTTTTATGTTGATCTTCTAGTATTTGCCCCAAAAGTCTTTTTTTTTTTTTGGTGCTGACTTCTCTCTCTTTTCCTTAGACATTGTTTCTATAAAGTGTCCTCTCATATAAGCTTTACTGGCTTCCCAAATTGTAACTGTGGAGACAACATTAGTATTATTTAATCTAAAGAATTCTTCCAGTACTTCATCTGACTTTCTCAAAACATCTTCTTGTACAAAAGATTATCACTGAGTCTCCATCTTCTTCCTCCAATTTGTTCTTCCTGTCATATTATCTCCAATGGATTATGATCAGAAAGTAACTTGGATAAGATCTTTACTGACTCTAAATTCATAATTAAATTTTTAGATATCCAGCATGTCAATCCTTGAATATGTCTGATGTCTATCAGAAAAAAAGGTATAATTCCTAACTGCAGGATTTTTGAATCTCTATGCATCTTCTAACTGCAGCATTTCTATGTAGTTAAAAACATTTTTAGATAATTTACCACCTCTAGCTTTTTTTTACTTATGTATGTTTGGTCATGCACATGGTAGGCATGTCATGAGCAGAGCCGGCTGAAG